GTAGATCTGCTGGTGGCAAGGTGGGAATGTCAAGGGGTGTCTTGGGCAGGCAAAGGGAAGGGGGGAGGAGTTCCCAGAATAAAGTTGATGGAGGACCTGTTCCGCATCATGGAGTGGCTGCAAGAGAGACAGGGCAGATTGGCGTACCTGTTGGAGAACCTAGACCTGGAGGGGGACAGCAGAGAGCCGATCCAATTAGTAAGGGAAAGAATAAGGGGGCAACTGGGGAGAGGGGTGAGCTGTGACGCGGCCAGAGCAGGGTCATACGCGCATCGGCTCAGGATGTACAGGCAGAATGTAGTCCCGGCCCTGAAGCTGCAAGAGGAGGTGGATGAAGTGAAACGAGCACTGGGAAGGAAGGTGCAAGACATCCTAGAGCCAGGACGGACCCCAGCGTCAATGTGTCGGAAAAGCTACAGCCGGCATTACCCGTGCAACCGGGTGGGATAGGACAGACAAGCCCTACTTACACTAGTGGCATATGCAGGGGCGGCTGTGTATGAGTTGGCAGTGGGGCAACCAGGGCCGGGAATGGTATATGATCACAGGAAACAGTGGTGGGAGGAACCAACCGCACTAGAACGAGAGCTGGCCATGGGGTATGGAGAGAATGCAACTGCAGCACCAGGGGTGAGTGAAGCAGCCAGGAGGAGGGCTTTAGGGAATGCAATGGATGGTTACATGTTGAGGTGGCTGATCCAGCGGATGTGGCGGGAGACGGTCATGAGCTGGGGGCATGAAGGAGAGAAAGAAGGGGCGGAGTCTGTCCCCCAAGGAGCATGGAGTTGCCGAGAGGAAGAAGGGGAGAAATGGAAGGTGGGAGAAGCGATGAGTGAGGAGGGGAAGGAGGCCATGCAACAACTGTTGGCCAAGCACAGGAAGTGCTTTGCCTTCACCTTGCAGGAATTGGGAAGATGCAAGGTGAAGGAGATGGAGCTGAAACTGAGCAGCACGGAGCCCGTGTTCCACCGCAGGAGGAAGATGCCACACGGGGACGAGGAAATTTGCAAGGAGAATATCAAGGAGCTATGAGAAGCAGGTCTGATCAGGAGGTCAGAATCAAAGTACGCCATGCCGATGGTGGTGGCAGCCAGGAAGGTCCTGACGGGGGAGGTGCTGAGCAAAAGGATGTCCGGGGACTACAGGGCACTTAACAAAATCACCAGATGCCGATGGCTGAAGAGATCTTTGACAAGCTAGCAGAGAGAGTGTTCTTCACGACACTGGACCTGAGGCAAGGGTTCAACCAAATTAAGATCAGGGAAGAAGACATCTAGAAGACGACCTTTCATGGGCTGGACGGGCTGTATGAGTGGTTGTACATGCCATTTGGGCTGAGGAACGCGTCAGCCGTGTTTCAGAGGGTCATGGATAGCGTGTTGTGGGGGGTGGAGTGTGCGGCATGCTACATTGATGATGTGGTGATCTTCAGCACAACGGAGCAGCAACACCTACATGATGTGGAGAGGACCCTGACGGCGATAGAGGGCGGCGGGACTGACATGTCACCTGAAGAAGTGCAGATGGGGCGAGCAGACTGTGCAATACCTGGGCTATGAGGTGAAAGGGGGGCAGATTGGGATCCAAAGGCCAAGGTGGAGGTCCTGGATAGGCTGAGGGAGCCGAAAGACAAGTCAGGGGTGAGAGCGGTGCTGGGCTTCCTAAGCTATTACCGACGGTTCGTGCCCAACTTCAGCAAGAGAGCAGCGGTGCTGAATGGGTTGCTGCGGGAGGACAAGGAGTGGGAGTGGGGAAGCACAAAAGGCGGCATTGCAGGATTTGATGACAGCGGTGAAGACAGCAACGGTGCTGCAGCTGCCCGTCGCTGATAAGCCATTCACGCTCTACACCGACTGGAGCAGCCAAGAGATGGGAGGGATACTCTGCCAAGAGGTGGAAGGAGAGGAGAAGGTGGTAGCATACGCGAGTAGGAGCTGCAACTCGGCAGAGGCACAGTACAGCTCATACATAGGGGAGGGGTTGGCAGCGGTGTGGGCTGTAGGGCATTTCAGGGTGTACCTACAAGGAAGAGAGTTCACCTTGGTGACGGATCACCAGCCGCTAACATGGCTGATGACAACGCCGGGGTTGACTGGCAGGAACGCACAGTGGGCGATGAAATTGCAGGAGTACGACTTCAAGATCAAACACAGGCCAGGAAAGACCTTGCAACATGTGGACGGTCTCTCTCGGAACCCCCCACTGACAGAGCCTACAGTAAGTTTGACACTACTGACGGGAGAGGTGGAGCTGAGTGGGGCCAGGGGAAGTAAGGGGCCAGCAGATATTTGGGAATATGAGCAAGCCTTGCGGTGAGTGAAAGGAGAGACAAGAGAGGATGAGGAGATGACAGAGAGAGTGAGGGCAAGGGGACACCATTACAGATGGTACCAGCAGCAGCTACAGATACAGACAAAGGACGGATGGAAGCTGGTGCCTGCGCCAAGTGAGAGGGAGGTGGTGATTAAGGAGGTGCACATGAAGTTGGGGCACTTTGGGCATGAGAGGACAGTGCAGCTGTTGAAGACAGGGTGGTGGTGGGAAAGGATGCGTAGGCAAGTGAAGAGGTGGGTGGAGGGCTGTGAGGCATGCCAAAGGAGCAGGGCAAACCTCACCCAAGCCAAAGCTGAGTTGCAGTCCTTGCCTATCCGCGGCCTAGGCTTCATGTGGTCCTTGGATCTGGCAGGGGAACTGGCGCTAAGTCGTGGAGGCAAGCAGTACATCGTGCTCATGGTAGAACACGTGAGCAAGTGGCTGGAGGTCAGGGCAATCCCGAGCAAGAACTCGAGGCATGTGGCAGCAGCATTCAAGGAACAAGTGATACGCAGATTTGGGGCATGTGCAGTAGTGCTCACAAACCAGGGAACTGAGTTCCAAGGGGACTTCAACAAGCTGCTAGAGGAGGCGGGGATCACTCACAGGTGCACCTCCCGCTACCACCCACAGAGTGATGGGCTGACAGAGCGCCTGGTACAAACCTTGAAGCGGGGATTGTGGGCATATGGGGAGAAGAGGAAGTGGGACTGGGATGAGGAGCTACATTGGATAGCGGCAGGATACAGGTTTGGGAAACAGGCCGCCTTGAGGGATCACTCCCCATACAGTCTCCTATATGGGTGCGAGCCGCTGCTGCCGGTGGGGGCAACACGGGTCCTCACGGATACAGTGACGGCAGGCACCATAGACAATTGGGTGGTTCTGTTGGAAGCCAGAGCAAGGTACCTGTGGGTGATGATGCCAGCAGCACTGGAAAACCTCCACACCGCACAGCTAAGAGATGCCAGGCGCTATGAGCAGCGACAGCAGCAAGGGACAGGGGGAAGAGCGAAGAAGGGAGTGAGACAGGGATAGAAAGTGTACATGAGAAGGGCAAAGCAAGATACCTTGGATGTCGGGGTAGGGACAGAAAGATGGAGGGTGAAGGAAGTCCGCCCCTCAGGGATACTAGTGTTGGAGAACGAGAAGGGAGCAGAACTGAAGGAACACCAGACCAACACGGCCGTGGTAAGAGGAAGTAAGCCTCAGCAGCACGGTCCTGTGACACGAGCTCAAGCTGCTCGAGCACAGGCATAGGAGGGGGCAGGGAGTGACTGAGGCAGAGCAATAGAAAGAAGGAAAGAGGCAAAGGGGCGGCAAGGAGAAAGGCAGGTGTTGGAAGGAGCAGAGTTCTCCAAAAGGAGGCAGCAAGAAGAAGAGCAGGTGCTGGAAGGAGTGTGGTTCTCCGATAGCTGTCACCGCATATGCACTTCATGCATATGCGATAATAGGAATAGACGGGTATAGGAAGTACTACATGTTGTGTGATGCAATCATTCGCATTCACGTCTGTCTGCCTCTCATCATATGTTCGTGCGTTGCATGCGTGGTGTGAGCGTGTGCAAGAATTTGTGTTTGGTGTGGTTTGGATTTTCTGAGTGTGTGTGAATGTTATTTGGCTTGAGCAGATATCTGAAGTGACTTCTCTGCTCAAGAGCTTTCCGACGAGCCAAGAAAAGCTTCAATCGGAGCACGAACGAGAAAGTTACGAACGCTCAAAGTTCGTATGCTTTTGATATTTGGTTGTGGCGACTATGGGAAGTTGTGGAGTGACTCTAAATGGGGTATAGACTTTTGGGGGTTGGGAAAATTCGTCACTCTACTGTAGTTGATGCCAAATGGTTGGGAGAAGCCAAACCAGGTTGGGAAGTGTGGCCAAGTTGGGTGAGGTGGATGGCATGGGTTGGGAAAGTGACAAATGTCAAAGTTGGGGTGCCTATAGAAAAGGGAATTGTATGGTATGGGGTTTCCTTGGTTGGGGACTCCTTGGGGACCTTCCCTTTGTCCTACTCTTTCTCTCCTATCTGGTTTGTAGCTACTCTACTTCTCTTTGTGGTAACTTGTAAGAACAAATTGTTATTGAGTTAAGTTTTCTGTGGTAGCTTACCCCCTAGTGCACCGAAATCAATAACTCGAGTTATACTCCATATTTTGATACGATTCAAATTGGCTGTTGTAGCCACTTTCTAGTGCTACAACATATCCGAAATTGGTGGAGTTTAAACGGTGCGTTTTCCGTCGACGGCGTTTCTTGTGAAGTCGACATTTCTGTCCAGAAATTAGGTCCAACGATTTTGAGATATTTCGGCCCTTAATCTTCATAGACTCCGTCCTTAGTCTCTAACAAGTGGTATCAGAGCTGATTGAGGACGTTGTGAAGAGTCTACTGAAGTGTGAAGACCCTCTTAGACCCACCATGGCCTGTGGGCGTGCCTAAGTGGTGTTCTAGAGGTTGCATGTGACTTCCGCTAAGGGGAAACTCTGCCAAAATTTCGTTGGCGCCGACACTTGTGGAAATTGTGTGGGACTTCGGTGTGGACAGCAAAGGGGGGAGCTGAAACCTGTGATTGGGAGCAGAGGAGATGAGTCAAGGGAGTGGAGATGCAGCTGACAAGAAGAGTGAACCGCCACCATCCAAGATTGAGGCATTGGATGGCTCCAACTACGAGGAATGGAGTGGGCGGATGAGGAGCGTCTTCAAGCGCTACAAGCTGCTGAAACTTGGAATGGGAGAAGAGAAAATGCCCGAAGAAGGAGATGCTCGGGATTGGTGGATTGAGCGGAGTGCGGTGTTGTTCGACCTCATCTTGCAATCGGTCAACAACGACATGTTCCAGCACATCAAGGACTTGGTTGAGTTGGACGACTCCGGTCCAAAGGCATGGAAGCTACTGCGTGGCGTGATTCAGCCCAACACGCTGCCCATGGTGATCGTGCTCGAGAAGGAGCTGGCGGCCATCTCCATGCGATCGGGAGATGATGTGAAGCCGGTCCTTGACAAGATCAAGGACACCTATGCGAGGATGGCAGCGGCGGGCAGCAAGGTGTCGGAGATGCAGCAGTGCACCAAGATCATCTCGGTGCTCGACAACTCGTGGGAGAACCTCATCCCCACCCTCAATGTTCAGCAGGACAAGTGGACGCCTGAGTGGATACGTGCCAGATCCTGCAGGAGGACTTCCGCAGGCGCCACACAGGAGGTGGTGCTGCCAACAAAACTGCTGAGGGGTATGGAGCTGCAGGAGGAAGCAGAGGAAGAGGGGGTGGGAGAGGCCGAGGCCGTGGGAGAGGCCGAGGCCGTGGGAGAGGCTTTGGCAGAGGGAGAGGCCGAGGTGACTACAATACGGGGCATGGGAGCTCTGGTGGCAGGGGGAGCACTCGAATGGAGGGTGCATGTTGGTACTGCAAGAAGGCTGGACACCCATGGTTCAAGTGTTTCAGCCGGCCTGAGGGATGGGCGTCGCCAGGCATGAAGCCGCCGAGTGGTGAACGTGCACGAGGTGGCGCTGTGCAAGGTTCAGGTGCACAAGGTGAAGGTGCACAAGGTAAAGCTTCTCCTAGGATGTTCCTCATGGTTGCAGATGTGAAAGGGAGTGAGGGTGATGTGGGTTCGGTTGGGAAGGTTGTGATGCACCCCCTCACTCACTGGGTGATAGATTCAGGTTGCACAAGTCACATGACCCCACGGGCAGATTTGCTTGACGAGGTAAAGCCCCCTGGGAAGATCAAATTTGTGGCTGCCGCTTCAGGTGCTTTACTCCCTATGATGGGTGTTGGGAATGCAAAGGTGATGGGAGCCAATGGGGAGCTTGTGGGGCTGGGAAATGTGCTGCTAGTTGAAGGTTTGTCCGCTAACCTCCTCTCTGTGCGCCGGCTGCAGAAAAGCAAGGCCAAAGTTACGTTCGGCCCAACCAGCTGCCGTGCAAAGCTTGGGAAGTTGCTGCTGTGGGATTTGGAGGAGAAGAGCAGCTGCATCAAGGACCTGTGGCAGCTGCCCATCATCCCTTGGAATGGGAAACCTCCAGCAACGGCAGCGGCAGCAGCAACTGCGGGAGGAGAGGAGACTGCACCAACTGATGGGGCCCTGGATGCAGTCAAGAAGGTGCAGCAGCCACAACGTCTACATGGTGAGGTGCTTGCTAGTGTGGATGCAACAGCTGCATGGGCAAAGGCTTCATCTGGGAGTGGTGAGGCCGATTGGGAGACGTGGCACGAGAGGTTGTGTCACATCAACATCCCTATGCTGCAGAAGTTGGTGAAGGATGGGAGCTTGAAGGGATTGGAGGTGAAGGGGGCAGCAAAGGAGATTGGGAGCTGCCCTACATGCCTCAAAACGAAGTTCACCAAGTTCCCCTTTAGCAGCAGCACGGGACCAGCCAAGGACCACCAAGTTCCCCTTTAGCAGGCACCACTTGCGCTTGTGCACATGGATGTGGTGGGCCCCACTAGGGCCCTTTCTCTCTCGGGCAGCCGCTACTTCTTGACCATTGTGGACGACCACACGCGTGCGGTGTGGGTGTACCCTCTGAAGACTAAGGGGGAGGTGGCAGCGGCTGTTCTTAAGGAGTGGATGCCGAGAGCTCAAAGGGAGAGCGGACACAAGGTGAAGGTGATCCGCACCGACAACGGGGGAGAGTTCATTGGCACTGATTTTGAGGCGGTTCTGAAGAAGAAGGGCATTCAACATCAGCTCACAGTGCCCTACAACCCGCAGCAGAACGGCGTGGCTGAGCGGTTCAACCGGACCCTGCAGGAAGGTGCTCGCACTCTCCTTGGGCGCGCAGGGCTGCCGGATCCGTTTTGGGTGACTGCACTGAGGCAGGTCGCACTTTTGAAGAACAAAGTGCTGGCGACTGTGGGGGACAAGCAGTGGGTCCCCTACACCAAGTGGTATGGGAGTGCACCAGCAGTCAACATGCTGAGAGCCTACGGCTGCATGGTGGTGTTTCATATGCGAAGGAGAAGAGGGGAAAGCTGGAAGCTTCTGGGAGATGGGGTGTGCACTTGGGCCTAGCTAAGGATCATAAAGGCTGGTTGCTATGGGACTTGACCAGCCAGCAGCTGACTGTGTCAAGGGATGTGAAGTTCCTCAAGTCCTTGTACTGCAAGGATTGGAAGCAGCAGCAGCAGAAGCTTCCTACTACACCGCTGATCATTGAGGCCGATGAGGTGCAGCGGCCTTCGAGGCAAGTGCAGGTCACTGTCTCAGAGGAGGAGATCTTTGGTGTGACTAAGGATGGGGGAGAACCTGAGGTGGAGCAGCAGCAGCAGCAGCCGCAGCAGCAGCAAGGTGCTCCACAAGGTGCCGCACGTCCGGCTGACCGTCCTAGGAGGGATGTGCGCCCTCCTAACCGGCTGACCTATCCGAGCTTTGGCAAGCCAAAGGTGGTACGGGCTGGGAGTGTGGCTGAGCAAATGGATGAGAATGAGATAGCCTATTGTTATGGGGCTGTATTGAGGAGGTTTGGTGGATAGTACCATGAGAGAGAAAGGCTGCAACGGGGTGCTGCAAGTTTGAGCAAAATTGAGATGTTCGAAGTGGAATGTTGAAAGAAGATGACTGTCCATTGGGATTTGTTGGGTGCAAATTTACATTGCACGACATCCTGCCGTCTGTTTGTACGAGTATGCGTGTGCGAATGCATTTGGGTGTGAATGGAATGTTCGTGTGTTTGTTTGCTTTCGCAATTTTCGCTTGATGCATTTGCAGGTACTCGCGCAATGTGCGCTTCGGCACGACATTGTACGCGCTATGAACAATGCAAGCAGAAAGGACGAGCTCGCAAAGGAACCCAAGATGGAAGCTTTGCAGTTCGGTTGAGTTGATTGCGCAGATTCAGTTCTATCCAACTCGAAATTGTACTGTTTTGTTTGGTTAACTATAGTGTAGCAGGGAAGGCACTATAGGGGTACAATTTAGGTGAAGGTTGGATGTTGTTTGTCTGTATCTGCATGCTACAAGGCCAGGGGAAACCAGCGGAACCAGCATTTGGCTGGTTGGGCAAAGACAAAACAGGTTCTGTTTTTAGAACCTGAACCTGGTTGTTGTTTTCCCAGGTTGGAAAAACAGAACCAGAGGTTGTTTACCAACCTACCACCTGCTATTTTGTCCAGCCAGGTTGGTTCTGTTGCTTGGAATTATTTGGGATCATCCCTGGTTGTTCCCAGGTTGATTCCCAATGTCCTTGCTAGCTAGAACTATTTAATCCTTCTCTGTTTGTACCTGAATATAGTCAAATTGATTCATGTGAATTCCTTCCTCGCTGGAATTTCGTTTCTACGCGGTTCGTTGGCGGAATGCTACCCGAGTCAACGCTAGTACGCTAGCACTCTAATGCTAGGCAAACACCGTCTGAGCCATAACTTCGTAATGGCAGAACTTTTCGCGAGGCAACTTGGCTCATTTTAAAGCTCTTGGAGCGAGCTTCGATATAGCGAATTCTCAGCTTAATCCGACCGACGGTCTGCACGGCACGCTGCGCGACGTTCAAGGTACTCTTGCTGTTTTGACTAAGTCCTTCTTGATCCCTCTCTCTACAAACTCGGACCCGAGGATAGGGGCTGGTCTTGTACTAGGCACCCAGGGACCCTTGGAGGTGACCCCGAGGAGAGGTTTTAAGTTTGATTAAGTCCTAATAGCTTGAGTTTATTAGGCCCTTACACCAACAAGCTGGTATCAGAGCCGCGTTATAGTGATCCTCGTTATAGGTAGCTATGGCGGGCAACACCTCGGCGGGAGCTGGTGAATCTTCAGCCCAAGATCGTAGCGGCAGCCAAGATTCTGGTCTTTCAGCGCCAAGGGGAGCGCGAACAAACCAGGGCTCGCTTGTCAAGGAGGTGCTGAAGAATTTCACCGTCGAGAAGTTCAATGGTGAGGGCTATGATGATTGGGCCTGGAAAATGCAATTATATTTCCGTCAGATCGGTTTGCTGAAACTAATGATTGGGGAGGAGCCTAGACCGAGTGACCCCACGCTGCAGGAAGATTGGGACGAGCGCTCCTCGGCTGGCTACTATTTGATGTCGCAGAGTTTGGAGCTGAACCAGCGTCACCACGTCATGCACCTGCTGCCGGAGGTTGAATGCGGTCCGAAGGCGTGGACCGTGTTGAAGGAGCTGCACGCCCCGACCTCCGTTGTCGCAACGTTGATGCTGGAGAGGGAGCTGTCCGCGTTGCGCCTGAGCGAGGGAGAGCCGGTGCAACCAGTCCTGGACAAGATGCGCGACCTCTACGCGAAGTTGGCGACCGCGGGAATCACCTACCCGGAGCAGACCAAGTGCTTGAAGATGCTCTCGCTGCTGCCAGAATCGTGGCTTCAATTTACGAGCGGATTGAGCCTGCCGCAGAACCAGAGCTTGTGGACGCTCGAGTGGGTGCGGACGAAGATTCTGGAGGAGGACTTCCGTCGCCGCCAACTGAGGGGTGGAGACGACGGCAGCAGCGGCTACGGGATGCAAGGGAGCCGACGTGGCAGAGGACGTGGCTTCGGTGGTGCTGGACGCGGTGCAAAGAAAGACGACGACTCCAACGACCAACAAGGAGGTACCGGTTGGGGTCGCGGTGCGAAATCTGGACGTGGGGGCAAGTCGGGTGCTGGTGGCAAAATGAAAGGGAGTTGCTGGTATTGTGAGAAGGAAGGGCACCCCTGGTTTTTGTGCTATAAGAAACCCGATGGATGGACCCCCCAGAATCGTCACCAGGATGGCGGCGCGCGGAGGAACCAGAAAAACGGCGCCAACATGGTCGCTGATTCGTCCGACAACAACCCGAAGGGCAACGGCGGTGCGGAGAAGAAGAAGGAGCGCACCGCGGGCCAATTCTTCCATGTAGGAGACAAGGGGGAGCAAGGAGACGCCTCTGCCAAAGTTGGAGCAGAGCTGCACCCCCTAGACTATTGGGTGTTGGACACAGGCGCTGCTTGGACGATGACGCCGCGCAAGGACCTGCTGGACGAAGTACGAGCTGCACCGATCAATGAAGTGTGCTCCGCCTCTGGACACATGTTGAAGGTGGCTGGTGCGGGACGAGCTGCGTTTAAGGGAGCGGATGGCAAGCCGGTGGTGCTGCACGACGTTCTCTTCGTCCCCGACCTGAAGGCCAACCTTATCTCCCTCCGTAAGCTTGGCAAGGCTGGGGTGAACACCAACACGGATGGGGCACGCACTTATAAGGGGAAGCTGGGCAATCGGGTGCTTTGGGATCTGCACGAGAGCAAGGACGTGTACAGATCTATGTGGCAGCTGCCGGCCCTGGCGTGGCATGGTGGGGGGCAGGCTGGAGAGGGGTCTGCATCCCAGGGGGAGTGCAATGCCGTTGGAGGGGTTGGTGTGAAAGTGTCGGCCAGATCTGGGGAGACAGATTGGGCAACGGCACACCGGCGCTTAGGGCATGTGGCAATGCCTTTGCTGAAGCAGCTGGAGAAGGATGGAGCCGTTAAGGGTCTGAAGCTGAACGGACAGCCACCCGATGACAACTGTGAAATCTGTTTGCTTTCAAAGTTCACCCGTTTCCCTTTCCATAGTGTGGCTGGCAGGAGCAAGAAGCCTTTGGAGCTTTCCACATGGACTGGTTGGGCCGCGTTGTCGGTGCAAGGGCACAAGGAGGAGCGGTATTTTCTTACAATTGTGGATGACTGGAGCAGGCTGATGTGGGCGTATCCGCTGAAGCAGAAGGACCACGCCGCCTCCACGATACGGGACGATTGGCTGCCATTCGTGGAGAAGCAGGCGGAGTGTGTAGTGAAGCGGATTAGGACAGACCGGGGTGGTGAGTTCCTTGGAGCTGAAATGACGGCCTGGCTCAAGAAGCAGGGCATCCAGAGAGAGCTGACCACGGCTTATACCCCACAGTCCAATGGTGTAGCAGAACGGGCAAACCGGACCATTCTGGAGACAGCTAGGGCGCTGCTCATAGAATCTGGGCTGAGCAATTCTATGTGGCCTCATGCTGTCCGGCACTCCACTTGTCGCTAGGAACAGGGTGCTCACCAAGGTTGGGGATGACTCGTGGGTGCCGTTGGAGAGGTGGCTTGGGAGGAAGCCGCCGGTGGACATGCTGAGGGTGTTCGGTTGCATGGCAGTCGCCCACGTCCCCAAGACCTACCGCAGTAAGTTGGGGGCGAGTGCAATCTGGTGTGTGCATTTGGGGCTGGCTGCTGAGAGCAAGGGATGGCTGCTGTGGGAACCATCCAAGGGTGTGTTGTTTGACAGCAGGGATGTGAAATTCATTGAGGGCATGATGTATGGGAGCTGGGAGAAACAGCCAGAGGCAAGGGTGTCCCAGCAGATGGAGCAGATCACCATGCAGCTGGACCTGACTCCTAGTGTGTGGGAGGAGGGAGAGGAGGCAGCTGCTGGAAATGGTGATGGAGAGAAGATACAGGAGGCATCTGCTGGTGGAGAAAATGGTGTGGAAACTGGCGGCAGCACTAGTGGAGCTGCTGGACCCGAGGGAGGAGAGAAGCAGCAGGGAAAAACTAAGAAGCCGAAGGGTGTCGTTATGAAGGGATGGGAGACACCTGTCTCCAGGCCAGGACGTACCCGTATGGCTACTAAGAAGCTGACTGCAGGAACTGATGCAGCAGAGCAGCAGCTAGGGACCGAAGAGGCATTGCTGATTCTACCTCATGGCTATGACCCGGATGAGGAGGATGAGCCTGCGTACTGTTTTCTTGCCCCTGCACCAGAGGAACCAGCTAGCATGGAGGAGGCATTAGCTGGACCAGATAGGGACAAGTGGCTGGCTTCTAGGGATGCTGAGTACCAGAGTCTGCTGGAGAATAGGACATGGGATGGGTGGTGCTGCCTGATGGGAAGAAAGCGATACAATGCAAGTGGGTGCTGAGGATCAAGACCGATGACAAGGGGCAGGTCACCATCTACAAGAGTAGGCTGGTGGCGAAGGGGTTTATGCAGAAGGAGAAGCAGGACTTCAACGAGATCTTTGCTCCCACTGCCAAACCCCCTACCCTCTGTGTCTTGTTGGCAGATGCAGCTGTTAGTGGGAAATTCATC